CAGCAATTCGTGCTTATCGAATTGTACAACAAAACGTACATTATTAATAGACTTGTTATTTAGTTATTATTATGTAAATATACTTTTTGGAAATTTAATGAATAGTCAGAATGCAGGGAAAGTTCAATTGCATACAATGTCGTTATTAAATTGAAACATTTTGGTATATAAATCAAAGTTGTTGTAAGCGAAGGTACAGTTTCATCTGTCTCTTCAAACAGCCGCTATGAAGTTTTTGGTAGGTACGCAAAACCGTTTAAAATGTAGCTGATATCTTTTTTGCAGTGTTTGGCTACTCTTATGATTGCGACAGTCTTCGCAGAAGAGGTCGCGGAATCCAAGGGGGTGCACAAACGCGGCTTGGGTGATTTCGGCGGTGGTAGCTCCTACGGCCACGGAGGAGGTTTTGATGTGCAAGGTGGAGGTGGAGGTGGATTTGGCGGACAGGATGGCAACACTGTTGTGAGCCACATTACTTTATCAAGACAAGTACCGTATCCGGTGCCTCATCCCGTTCCAGTTCCGGTCGAAAATAGGGTTCCATACACCGTGAACTTTCCCGTGCCTGTTAAGGTCGATAAACCATACACAGTTCATGTTCCTAAACCTTACCCCGTGCACGTAGATAAACCAATTCCATACGAAGTTGTTAAAAACATCCCAGTTCCAGTAAGCGTCCCAGTCAAAATTCCATTTCCGGTACCAGTAAAAGTTCCAATTCCACAACCATACCCGGTTCATGTTCCTAAATCATTTCCCGTTCATATTCATACTCCAGTAATCATTAAGAAACCCGTACCATATGTCATTAACGCGGGGACTGATCACGGTGCTTCTGGGACATTTGGAGGTGGACACAGCAATTTTGTCAACCACGACTACTCTTCAAGCGGATACGGTCATCATTAGAAGCACATCAACCGTTTTCTTTGTATTTTTTCACATATGTTCTGTGATGCTTAGATTCTGTTGTACGGTAGGAGTTTGTCTTTACAGCGATTTGCGATTTATTTTTGTAAAGTATACTATTAACAACATCTCTTTTTATTTGCAACTTATTTAGAGACGCGTGACTATATTGAGCAAAGTTTAATGATAATATGAAGGGAATTTGAGTACCTGACACATGGGGTAGAAGATAACATTCAGGGAACAACAAACGAACCAAGTTTAAAAGGATTTAGAAAAAAGAAACGAACGAACATGGAGACAATTTTAGAGAAAAAAGCTGCAGAGCAATTTGAAAAGAACTTAAGAAAGAAAATAAATTGAGAGGAACTTGGGAAGAATGTAATAAGAGCTCGAGACGAAATAGAAGAAATAAAAATGGGGGATTTTAATGAGCAGTTGTCATAAAAATTGTAATTTCAATATTTGGGCGTTTTACCACCCGCACGTTATAAGGGAGGTATTGCATTGGGGTCAAAAGTGACCCTCCACTTCCCATGTCGTTAGACACTCATCGGGTGCGTCCCCGGGTAGCGGATAGGGGAAAGCTCATACAGACACCTGAATGATCGTACGTGACTCGCGATTCGGTGTGGGTAGTGACGATTATAAGTGGATCGTCGGGGCTAAAACCCAGACTGGGAGCGACGAAGGTCGTCGCCGTGGACCAACCTCCCAAGTCAAGGTGTTAGCGACCATGCCGAGGACTGCGTGGCACTGGGGTGCAGTGTCGATAACGGTGCCTCTCGGATACCGGGCGACCTCCGAGTGGTGGCTCCTTTCCTTTGGGAAGGGGCTGGCAGCCAAGCCCTGGGCAAGCGGCTCTGCCCAGATGAGACGGAATTTCCGCACTACTCGTGGGAATTGTATGGAACCTTCACACAAAACCTTTTTGGGCTCCTCGTCAGAGGGGACCAACATACCTCAAAAGTCGCTGCGGCAGGGCTCAAGGTGGCCGTCGTTCCGGTATCATACTCGGAGGTGGACATCTCTGAGGCTCAGGCGAGGTGCATTATAGCTGCATTGAATGCAGTTGTAGACCAGATGGAGGGGGTGCCCTTTCCTCGGCTGGTAGGGTTCCGCTGGAATCCACAGGATGCCATCGTGGCCGAATGCGATGGCCAGTGTACCTTGGACTAGTTGGAGAGGACCGTCCCTCTTATTAGGCCTTGGGATAGGGTAACCAAGGTGATGGCTGTGTTGTACAAACTCCCGGATGACACGGCCACCATTTTAAAGCGCCTCCAGAGGCAAAATCCTGGTTTCAGGACGAGTCTATGGAGGACGTTCTTCCGCATTTCGTGTCGATGAGACGTCCTTTCAGGCACTCCAGCGACAGAACTTTCAGGTGCACGCTCCTGGGCTCCATTTCAATAGCTCACATGATCACGAATTGGAGAGTGTCTGATGAACCGTCGCTTTCGGATCACAGGCACTTCTTTTCTTTTTGGATAGATCACCTTTGCTCTGTCGGAAAGCAGGGAAAGTGGAAGAGGCGGCCGCATTAGTAAGCGACGCCATAACAGCGTCCTATGAGGATAGCTGTAAACTGCGTAACTTTCGAGGAATGAAGAGAACACCTTGGTGGAACTCAGACCTTGAAAAGGCTCGTAAGGAGGTTCGCAGGCTCTTTAATAGCGCCATGCGAACTAAGTTACCTGCGGACTGGGAAGATCTCAAAAACTCCCGGCGCAGGTATAAGGACCATATTCGGAGGTCTAAACGAGGATCATGGAGGACCTTCTGTGGTAACGTGGAGGGTCTTCCTAAAGTTCAAAAACTTCGTAAGATCCTGTTGAAGGACCCGGGCCAAAAAGTGGGGACACTGAGGCTTCCATGCGGCAGATATAATGTTTACCGCCAAAGGGAGCTACCCGGTTCGGTGTAAGGCCGATCGACTGGAAAGTAGCTTCCCGGGTGGTTACCGAGGGATCTCTGAAATGGGCGGTCAACACATTCAGCCCATTTAAGAGTGCAGGATCGGACGGGATATTCCCGGACAGATATCAACTCCTTGAAGACAGTTATCTGGAACCGGGGAGGGTGAAGCAACTTAAGGCTAAACAGGGTCCCTATCCTTCATTGAGAGGAACAATAGGCCTCTGGTGTGCCTAAGTGCTGCCCGGTCGGGTTTCCCTGACAATAGAATAGAATAGACGCTCCACTTTTTTGACGGAAATTTAAAGTTCCATGTTTTTCTCAATTTTTGGAAAGAAGAATTAAAAGAAATGTGGGACGACTAATTTGGCTCAGATTTTATTCACAAACGTGAACCATAACTTTGTCAAATTATAACTCCAACGAAGGAGCCAACAATCCATCAGCGAACACGATCAACACGTCGTAACATCTCGGGGTCAGCAGCACGCCATGATCGAAGCATTCCTTAAGATACTTGGTCTTCGAGCTCAAGAATGCGGCAATGTCTTCGTTGGTGTTGGAAAAAATGAGAGTCGCGTTTATCACATGGTAAATGCTAAGACCAGATCTCGAATCTCTAAATTCTCGAGGACCACAGATTCATTATACTAGAAAACATCACCGAACAGCTTCCAAATACTCACATCAAGATCAAAGACTGGAATATACCAACCACTATTACCTTAACCGATCCGAACTTTAAACAACCTGGAGCAATTGACGTTCTTCTATCTGCAGGGACATTCATCTCAATCTTGGTTCAGACAAACCTAAGCTTTTTGATACTTCTTTAGGCTGGATCGTAGGGGGACCTTTACCGATTCCAATACCGTTCACATGCCGCTATCAAAGCCAGTGGTAAGCGTCACACATGGTTCAGAGGAAGACGGATTTGTTGAACGTCACTTTTCTGAAACCTACAAATTAGAAAATGGCAAATTCGTAGTAAACTGCCAAATTGGGGGGTTCAAGGAAAAGATCCGAAACAAGCTGGTTGTCGACTGAACGTAATTTCATCAAGAATCCCGAATTGAAAAAGCAATATCACGACTTCATGCAAAAGTATCATCATTCAGTAGTTAAAGTCTGTGCATCAGAAGTGAAAAAGATTTGTGCCGTTTCTAATGTTTCAGCCAAGACCAGGACATAAGCGTCCTGGTCTTCGCATCCAAGACGAACTTGTTAAAATGCTCTTCGATTTCGTTGTCAATGCATACATAGAAAAACGTACCGACAAATCCTGATACACCCTAGGGATCAGTTGTTCCAAGGAATAGTTTACCGCCCAAACATCACAGAACCTATAAGAGTCTACCAACTGAAAATGATAACATATGGTACATCCTCAGCGGCTTTCATTGCTATGCGGTGTATTCAACAAACCATCCAGTTGAATACCGATTAACATCCTTTAGCTTTTGCATAGCAAGAAAAGGCTTATATGTTGTTGCTTTCAAGCCTTCAAAATAGAGCTTAGTCTTTTGGTTATTTGCACAATTTGTTCAAGTTCGTATCTTTACTTTGAATCAAGTGTAGGGCTTGTTGCAGTCACGGCGCAATAAGCCCTATCCAAATTATGGGAATATGAAGCTGAAAGAGACCAACTACCCCTTTCCTGCGGAACGAATCACCTGTAAAAACGTTAAAGAGTTCGATACAGAAGATTTTTTTATGTTGCAAGAATTTGGTTGCATATTTCCACACCTTACCAATCGCTTACCAAACTTGAATTTACATTTAAACTTATTCTACTTCACTTTCAGTGTGGAATGAATGTCTTCCGCGGTTAAAACAAAATTAGCCTAATTAACGCCTGCAAGAAAAAAAATCATTTCAAAACGAGGAAAATTAGTCTCTGTCGTAATCATTTGTCATATTGAAATCGGCGTAAGTTAGGAAGTTGTTGTACATGAGTTACTTTGACTACAATTATAAAATAGATAAAGTACATGGGGCCATTAGGAAGCAAAACAGGAAGCGAAGACACGCACCCATTGTACAAGAACAAATTATATACAAACACTCATTTGTTATATTTGGGGACTAACAGAGAAAGCTGAATGGTAAAATTGAACTATAAATACAATTCAATTTTCTCAATTTAATCAGATCACGTTCACAAGTGCTTAGATATGAATATTTTGGTTAGTATAAATACGTTTGTAGTGCAACTTTAGTTTTTCAGTTTCAGGTTCTGGTGCTAAAATGCATGTTAATTGCGACAATCACTGCGGAGGAGAAGAAAACCGTAAAAAGAGGTTTGGGATTAGGCTACGGGTTTGGTGAACACGGGGGCGATTTTGGTTATCACGGATCATTTGACGGCGGACACTTTGATGGACACCACGAACCAATCCATACCCATACAGTTTACAAGAAGGTTCCGTATGCTGTGCCATATCCCGTACCACACACCGTAACAAAACCGTACCCTGTACACTACCCCGTTAAGGTTCCGGTTGAAATTCCCAAACCGTACAAAGTGCCTGTACCTAAACCCTATCCTGTTACGATAACGAAACCTTATCCTGTCGTAGTTAAAAAACCAGTACCCTATACCGTTAAGGTTCCAGTAAAAGTACCCGTTGCCGTACCCCATCCGGTAACTATACCCAAGCCATATCCCGTCACGGTTCACGATCCGTACCCTGTAAAGGTACCCTACCCGGTGGTTGTTGAAAAGAAGATACCTGTTGTACTACACGATCACCACGACTTCGGCCTAGGGCATGGTTTAGGGTATAAATTTTAAATTAGAAATGATGTTGTTTATATTGTTGTTGTTAAATATGATTCAAAATGTGAGATATAAATTAAATTTATAAGGTCAAGAGTATGTTCAGAAAAACTTGTGCAACTATGCAGTTAGCTAGGTATGCTTCGTTTCACCTTGACCATAGTTAAACGTTAACTGGTTGGTGCCAACAGTGTTAGATAACACTAAAACGCAACGAAGTATAAGATAGTGCTAAATAAATTTGCATTAGGAATTCATTAATGATAAAATAACGAGCACGGTTGAAATTAAGAAATCATGTTATTTTAAAATGAAAGAATATAGAGCGCAACATAATTTCCTGTTACATAATCCACTATCCTGTACTTACATTCCTTGTACGTACAGGAAAATAACTGTAGCTAAATGTTAAAAAACAAATTTTAACTTTCTCTCACCTGAAATATTGAAGTAAACGGTGAAATCGAAATTGGAATTTTTAGTAGAGGATAATCCGCAAAGATCATGAGTGTCTATTGTTACAGTATGTACAGAATGTTTTCGCAATTAATATGGTTAATGTTCCAGTGTTTACAGCTGTAATTCTTTGTAGTTCAAGTCATTAAATGCAGTATGCACCAATTCAGACGCTAATTAACACAAAGCAACGGCGGCGCGGTAATAGATTTTCGTGATTTGCAAGTTTTCACTTTGTATACCGAAGAGATTATTACAACATAATTATTATAATAATATTAAAACGGTAATTATGGACATATTAGTCGACATTGATTATAGGAGACATGAAGGATTTATGGGCAATCTTGAAAATTAAGCATCTCGATTCAATTTTGAAATTATTATTTATTCCTATAAGAGCAAATGCTTTTTTTATATGTTCGGTGGGTAAAAGAGCAACGCTTGGTCAACAATAGATAAAGGTTTAACTTTTAATCACGACTGGATGAGCCTGGTCGAATTTGAATGAACCCGCAAAGGCATAACTAGTTCTCAGGTACTCTGCTTTCAAGGTGAAGTCATCCATTTTTCACAAATTATTTGCGAGTTCGCAAATTCACTTTTTTGTGTTCCTTTCAGGTTTCTCTTCATTTTATTTTAAATCTCAAGTTCCTTTCAAGTTTTCAAATTACGTACTTTCACGTTTACTTCTCCAATTTTGTTCTCAAATTCCTTTCATTTCCGCTTAAGTTTCTCGCAAGTTTTTGTGTTCTTTGCAATTCCTTTCAAAACGTGTACCAACTTTTTAGGAAAGTTGTGCCTTGCAAACTCCTCACGTTGCCAAATTCCCTTCATATTCATTTATTCGTTGTTGCTTTAGAGACCTAATATGTACATAATTTTTTATACATAAATTAGAAAATATGTTTTGAGATAATTTAACAAAAAGCATTCTGTTAGATTCAATTTAAAAAAAACAAAAAACAATATATCACAAATACTAAATTTAAAAATGTTTAACATGTTCAAGAAACAAACACAATACATATTTTCGTCAGCTTAAAAACAGATTAAAAATATACATACAGTTATTAAAATTCTTAAATTGTAACAAAGGCAGAATAAATATAATTCTAACAGAAATTGTTGTAATGTCTCTAAATGTATTGTATATTTGGATGACGTTGGGTCCTTCTGCGTCAGAAGGCGAGGAAGGAGGGGGGCGGTGGCGAACGGAAGTAATATCTCATATGACATATGATTATCCTTTTCACGTTTTCACATCCCCTTTTCGCGGAGTTTCAACGAAAAATTAGAGAACACAAAAGACTACTTAATTAATTACTTAATAAATTTTTTACATATTTCTAACTCTTACGCGATCTTTCTATTTTTATCTATCTTTATATATTATATATACACATTCAAATTCATGTATATTTTACGCCAAATGGCACAAATAAATAAATAAATCAATCAATCAATCATTATCATTATGGAGAATTATTCGGAAAAAAATTAATAAGATGCCAACATTGACAAAAAATCAAAAGGTGAATGGGTTTCAATGTAGAGGTTAACAAGTGATATCGCAACAACTAAAAATACACAGTGTTATATTTAAAAAAATTAGTTCTTGATTTAGATTGTAAAAATGGGACACCCTGTAGATTCATAAATTATAATTATAAATAATTGCAACTCTTCTTTTGTTAAGCTGAAATTATAAGTGTGCATTTTTAATTTGTCGGCCTAGTGCAAATCCAGCCCTGAGTAGTAAACATGTTTCGGATTAAAAAAAAACAACTTCTTTGTAAATCCAAAACCATAAGAATGTAGGTGTCAGGTGATTGGTCAGGAGCACTAATGGCGCCTTTTTGCAGAACTAATTATGTATCAAATTTAATTTAATTACCTTCATAAATAAAAAAGTTTACAATTCATAAAAACATAAATAAGCGAGATGCAAAAAGGACACTGTGCATGATAAACAATCCACCTACAGAATTTCATCGTAATCGGTCCATTCGTTATCGAGATATCTTGGTAACGGACAGACTGACAGACATCGTAAAATTATAAATTCGCTAGGAGCTCGTTAATAAGGTCGGATAGGGAATTGAACCCCTGTTAAAAAACCTGATCCCTGAGGTAACTCAACAAATTGCACTACGGTATGATGCACGGTAGTCTTTATTGACGTCAGAAATTATTTTGATGCAACACGCAACTGAGAGTTTTGTGCATGCAAATTCTAACTGCTTTTTGTAAAAATATTTCACGCATTCCTGTCCAGCTTTGTATTGAATAAAGATATTTAGCGTTTGCACTGTTTTATAGAATTGGAAATGATCATTTTAATATGAATCAACAAGGAAAGTATAAAAAATATGATTGGGAATACATAAATAGTCATTATTACTCACCTTGTTTATTCTCACTTACAGAGAAAGTTGCAAAAGTTGCTTCTCTTATTTGTCTCGTTTATTTTGTGCAATGTACACCGTCAAATCTGGCCAATTAGGGGCTTTCAGATGGCGTTTACGACTGTTAATAATGTCTGTCTGGTGTGTGATGTGTAGGTGGATATATGACTAATGATTTCTATTCAATGGGAAGCTGCATGAAATAATTGCTCTCCTACATTTCAATTGTATTTTTATGACTTTTAATTGCAAGATTTTCTAAATGAGGGGCCCCCTCATCTAACGTACCTATTACATGTTCGAAATGTTAGTAGCTCAAAATAAACATGACCCCAAAATTGGATAGCGTATCCCGCAAATACAAAATATTCCCCCAAATATTCAAAATTATAATTACGTGACGCATCCTCGAGCAGGACCGGTATTGTTCAGCGGGAGGTACCCGGATGAAGGACTAATTAAAACAAATAACGTCAGGTATCGGATGTCTCAAATGAATGTAGAAAATGGCAAAATGGCGCATACAAATGGAAAAATTCCCATTCAAATCCTCAATAAGGAGATAAGTGCAAATCGAAACAACCCAAATTTCGAAGTAGGTACGTATATTGTATATAGTTCTATATAAAAGTTCAATTAAAGGGAATTAACACACCATTAGCTTTCGACCGACGTCTACGTGCTGAACGAAAAGAGTAACGAAAAAATACCCGTTGATCATCCGAGAAACACCACCGTGGCTACTCAAAAAACCCTCTATCCGAATGGATCTTGCGACTCAGTGCACGAAAAATGATGCATCGGCTGAAATTCAAAGTAAAGTGGATAAAGTGTTATCGGAGTTTCCTTTAGCGAAGGTTTATACACGGATGGATCAAAAACAGAAAAAGGTGTTGGTTGTAGTATGGTTGTGGATAAAGTACCGTTCAACTGGTGCCTGTCGCCTGCTGTCTCTATTTTTACTGCGGAGCAGTACGCTATCTGGCAGGCACTCAGGTACTGTGAAATGAACTGCGAAATAAAATCAGTTATTATAGTCAGCGACTCGCAGGCTTCCTTAATGAGTCTTTGTAATCGAGACACGCTAGATGTTCTGACCAAAATGTGCCAGGAAGTTGTTAAAATACTGGAAGACCGAAACGTGGCTGTGAACTTTCTATGGGTACCTGCGCATATTGGAATTAAGGGAAACGAGGAGGCAGATAAAGCGGCAAAGATGGCATCAGCATCGAACGAAATTGATGTATCAGAGGTTAAGGCAATCGAACAAAAAGGAATGATAGCACGATGTATGCAAGAACTATGGCAAAGACAATGGGATGACTGTAATACCTACCTTAGGCGATGTAAACAAAGCGTCACGTCTGTTTCTCCAGCATTAAAACTGCCTCGTCAGGAAAGTGTTTGTCTCCATAGACTAAGAATAGGACATACCGCTTTAACACATTCTTACCTTCTAAAAAAAGAAAATCCACCTGTGTGTGAATTTTGTGGCAATATAACATCTGTGCAGCATATAATAGGTGAGTGTCCGGCACAAGTAATACAGCGACAAATGTGCGAACTTCAACAAAGAACGGAGAAGTGCCTGACGGATCCTGATGGAATGAGGAACACTGTGAAGTACCTGAAAGTCTCTGGATATTTTAGTAAAATATAGATAAGATATAGAAGGTGGTACTTACCCGCTTACATCTTACATAGAAAAACGATTCTAGCCTGAAAACGTTTAGGTAGATACAAGAACCAGTAAAAAGGGCTAATGACCTGAGAAGTTGATGCCCTCTAAACAAAAAAAACAAAAAAAAAGAAACGGAAGTTCAGAAAAAGCCGCTGTCATTTCTGAGTGGAGAAATTGCGTGTTAAAATCCATCAATAGGTGGAGCCATCTATCAAATCGTTTCACATGTTACGACAAGTTAAGAATACATCGATACACATGATGCAAGTGCTTTAGATTTGGGATGTTTTTTAGGTTTTTGAAAAGATAGGTAATAGACCGAAACTTTGAAAGGATACCGGAGAATGATCCTTCCACTTCAAGTTTTGATGACTAAAAAGTTAATATTTACACTATTAGATAATTACGTATTATCTTATCAAACGTCTCGACAATCTCTCTGGGTTATATGAAACCTTGATTTAGAGTTGAAATGCAACTCGTTTACAGCAACTCGTTACATTTTCATGTGTTTTATAGAAATCTACCATACTACCATACTTTCCCCACTAGAGATGAAAATGACATTTTCTTCACCCTTTTTAAGCCGGATTTATAATTCCGTAGCCGTAAGAACGTAAGAACGGAACCGTAAAATCTTACGTTAACGAAAATTATACGATTTATAGTTAACGTAGTGGTAAGAGATGAGCTTGCGCATTAGTGCGAAACGAGATCTGCCATTGTATGTCATCTGTCAGTAAGAGTAACGTGCATTTCAAAACAATAAAAACCAACAAAGTGTCAATAATTATTGTAAATAAACGAAACGAACGTCAGGATAAACTCAACTGTTTGAATTATCCGAGTACTACCGAAGAAAAGCGCGTTAGCACGATTTACCGTAAGAAATAAGATTTGGGCATTTCCTACGTACCGTAACCGTTCTAACGCAACGTTAACGCGAACTATAAATGTTCACGCGCAACAAGTAGGGTTTAATTCCAAACGTTACGGTACGGGGTTGCCGGTACGGAACTATAAATTCAGCTTTAGAGACGAAAGTAGTTGCTTCTGAAGTAGTTTCAGGAAAAAAACTTTGCATCATCACAATTTTCCTCTCCAAATCCAGTCTGTTTTTAATTTTTTCATAGGTGTTTTAGGGGTTTCGTTTCCGCTTGTCCCATCCGTATGCGGCTGAGAAGCAAATACAAAGGTCTCTTCTTCGTGGTCGTCTTCATCTCAGCCTTGTCTTCCTTCGCTGAGACAGCCAGTTCACAATTCGTTACTATCGCTAATAGCTCCAGACGTTCCTCAGGTATCGTTTGTTTTCCGAGGGTTTCTTTCACCATTTTCATTCAACTATGAGACACTGAGAAACGGCAAAAAGAAAACTAGCAACGCTCACTCAATAAACTTAAAAAATTATCAAAGTCCTCGTGTGAGATCGAAGAGACTTCAGCGCATTTTTGTGTGGCAGATCAGTATTCTATTAGCCACTTTTAACTCAACCATCAATAAAAGACCTTGTCGAAGGCTACTACATTCACTTTGTCGCTACCCGCTTCCCACTCTCTCCGTGCACCCGCAATTCGCGTTTAAAGTTTTGTCCACCATCAGTCAAATCTTGTCGGGGGCTACCACATTCCCTTTGACAGTACCCACTTCCGACGTCCCGTTCACCCGCAATTCACGTTTGAACATTTGACTCCACCATCAGGAAGATCGTTTCGGGGCAACCACATTCCCTTTGACGGTACCCACTTCCGACGTCCCGTTCACCCACAATTCGCGATTGAAGATTTAACTCCACCATCAGTTAGATCTTGTCGGAGGCGACCACATTTCCTTTTTCGATGCATACTTATATCACACCCACATTTTGGTGGATTTCGCTAAAAACCTTCCACAAGATAGTACTTAATTTTTGGGGCACTTCTCATTGCTCGAGCTTCTATTGGCGACACGAGAAAGAGAGACAGCGATTCGAGATTTACGAAACGTTTAACCGCGTGACAAAATTCGTAACGGAACGTAAAAGGCGCCCGAAGTGGACTACCTCTCGAAGACGCGCGCGCGCCTTGCAAAAGGTTGTTAATTTCGCCCATAGGACAAAATTCTGCCACGCAGGAGTTGTGCGTGTTTACAACATCTTTCCGACGACACCAATTTGAAAAGAATCGGACGAAAACTGTAGTAGAAGATAGGAAAATACTGAAAAACCTTCACGTTAGTAAACTACGCTCGAGGATGACGCCCAGATGTCGCCAACCCCACATCATGTAGCCATGTCCCTAAGGCTGACAAATTACACGGCCTTGTAGATACACGTACACCCGTTGCCTTTCTACAAGAGTTCTTCTACGCGCCCACATTTGCTGCCTGCCAGCCAGCCAGCCAGCCAGCCAAAGTGAGATTAAAAGCTACTTTTTAGCGCATTTTTGCAAAAATGTTTTTTTTGTAAAAAGTAGCTTTTAATCTCACTTTGGCTGGCTGGCTGGCTGGCTGGCAGTAAATGCGCGCCCGTAGAAAAACGCTTGTAAAAAGACAAGGAGTGTACATGTAACTATCGGGGCCGTGTAATTAAGAACGTTAGGGATGGGGCTACCAGATTTGGAGTCGACGACATCTGGACGCCATCCCCGAGCGTATTTTACTAACCTGGAGATTTTTCAGTTTTTATCTATCTTCTTCTACAGTTTTTCTCCGATTGTTTTCAAATTGGTGTCGTCGGGAAGATCTTGTCAACGCGCACAACTCCTGCGTGGCGGAATTTAGTTTTTTTCCTAGGGGCGAAATTAACCACCTTTTGCGCGGCGCGCTTCGAGGGGTAGTCGCCTTTGGGCGCCCAAAAGTTTCTTACAGCGCGAATCGCGGTCTCTCTTTCTCGTGTCACTAATAGAAGGTCGAGCTATGTGAAGTACCCAAAAGTTGAATACGATTTTATGCCGGCATTTTAGCGAAATCTACCAAAATGTGAATTACGAATGAACGGGACGTCGGAACTGTGTATCGACAAAGGGAATGTGGTAACCCCCGACGAGATCTTACTGATGGTGGAGTCGAAACTTCAAATCCGAATTGTTGCGGGTGATCAGAAGTGGGTGTCGACAAAGGGAATATGGTAACCCCCAAAGGATTTTACTGATGGTGGAGTCAAAACTTCAAACGCGAATTGCGAGTGCACGGTAAGTGAGAAAATGGTACCGACAAAGTGAACGTGGTAGCTTTCGGCAAGATCTTATTGATGGTGGATTCAATATTGGTTAATAAAACACTGATCTGCCACACAAAAATGCGCTGAAGTCCCTTCGATCTCACACGAGGACTTTGATCATTTTTACAAATAAATTTGCAAAAATGCGCTAAAAAGTTATTCGTATTATATCAAATGCAGAGTACAGATCACATTGCCAATAATTATTTATAATTCTAAAGATTATGCCAGCACCTACACTGTGCACATGCAGGTCTGTTGGAGATAGACAAGAAAAGATTATGTTCGCCAGAGTGTCAAACGATATGACAATTGAACGTATAAATTTTGAAGTAATTCTCTTGACGGAAATTTATAATTGCCCAATCATATAAAGGAAGAAAATGTAAACATGTCTAATCAAAAAATTAAAAAGTTACTCTTAAAGATAGGTAGTACGGATGATATTTGGAGAACACCAACATAATGTAGAATCTAACTTTACTAACATATTATGTTTATATGTAATGTTTGACTCCTGTATATTATAATTATAATGCAATAGAAATATAATAAATCTTGAAATCATAACCGGTATTTAGCGATTTTATAAAATGAAATGAAACTACAATAAAACGTAATATTACTTATTCAATTTATTGGAACGCAACAATATAAACAAAATAAATATTTATTACTGTAAAACAAAAACTTCAACAAATCAATATTAACAAGAACATTCACATTCCACAAAATAATGGCAACGTTAATTATGTTGATCGAGGTTCTGAGTTGATTCGAAATTTTGGTTACTATCGGCGGGAGCAATTGCGCCGTAAGAGGGCGAATTGTCGTCCTGGCCTTCGAACCCTTGCCCGTAATTCGAACCCTCTTGATTATTATACGAGCTATAACTGTCAGCGCCTCCGTATCCTTCCTGGCTGTTGAATTGACCAAATTGGCCGTTATTGCTACCGTAACCGCTGAATCCTCCACCAGATCCATGTGCCGCGGCGTATTCACTTTCGGGAACCGGATACGGTTTAGGCACTTCGACCGGTACGGCTACACTTTTAATAACTTCCACGGGTACAGGCTGAGGTACTTTAACCAACTGCGTTACCGGTACGGGATAAGGTTTTTCTACAGGAACCGGGAAGGGAACATTATGGGGTACCTTAACTGGGTACGGTTTCGGAATTTTAAACGCGACAGCGCTATTAATTTTTACAACTTTTGGGGGAATTTCTCCTTGATAGATCGTTCCTAAATCTTGTAATCCAAAATTAGGGTAGACCAACCCAGCGTAGCCGTGAACGTCCGGAATGCCTATTAAAGTGTTTTGGGAACCGTGCCCACCGGCACCCTGGAAACCTCCCAAATCGCCACCACCTATGAGCAGACCGGGTCTGCCAAAAACGGTTGCGAAGCAGTTTAAAACTATTAATCCCTTAAAAAAAAGATTTTAATACAGAAAATGAATCATGATTCTTTACTTACCACATACTTCATCTTGGCAGTGTTATCACCCTTTGATTTTAATGTAACTACTGCAAGAATTTCTGCTACCTCTTATATATGAAGACATTTGAGAACCTACCAAATCCTCTTGATTCATTTCACTTTCTTGCTTTCTTCGGTTCTTGACATTGAGAGTACTCTGTAAGTACTTTTTACGTAATCTAATGCTGCTCTTTGTCTACATGCACTAAATCGCGGTGAAGGGTGAGACAGCTATAGTGTAACTGCAGCTATGTACCTCAAAATACCATTTCACAGGAAAGCGCTGTAAGTGAGCGAACGATGCTCATTAGCAACCATTAATAACAGATTAAATTCATATTTATTCATTTGTTACGTTAAATTTAATTCACTAGAACGGTAGTAGTAGACATTTAAATTTTTATTGAATTTATATGTAAAACAAAACGCGGAAGGTGAAAGAAGAATGTTAAAGCAACCTGCGTTCGTTAACCTTGTAAAAGATCCAAAAGTGTATCGATCTGTAGTGATTGAGATCAGTAAAAGCGAAAGTGCCCCCATAATCCCTTCACCGATGACTTCTGTGAAATTAATTCCAATTATTAATTCACGATCATTGACAAATTGCATTTAGGCTGTTTCCAATCACCTGAAGAAAGGTTTGCTATGTATTTGTAGTTTTATTGTTTACTTTCCACTTTTGTCCGTTCATTTTACTGCACAGTTGTCAAGAATACTGTTTGTCTGTTTGCCAAAATTATTAGTAGGTAAATGGTTACTAAAAATCATTTAAGTTTGCAGAATGTGTAAATAAAAATGTCCTACACCACAGATACAAAGTTTAATTTCAATTGCATTACGCAAAAAACCACTGTAATTAATACAGGTACAGGTATACGCAACTGACAGTTTACACCGTATCACATTGTAAGAAGCCCATTAAACAACCACGTACCTACACATTTGTATATACTCATATAATTTATCTTAATTCCATACAATTTTCTTCGTATTGGGATTTTGGTAAAATGATTGTAAGGGACAGTGGAACATAATTAGACAAAAATTGAGTGTTTGTTTATAAAAATTACAGTTTTCAGAGCATACCAAAGCTGACGGGGGAATAATTGTCATACACTTCAGAAAAAAAGGATTACCTTTACCTTTGTAGTTTACAATGCGGCATCTGAGGTACACAGTAAGTAAAGTACCAGATTGACGATATTTGAAAAAAAAAATTCGTTAAGCCGCTTGTGAACAATGAGCGAAGAATGCACTTTCAAATTTGTTTTTTCGATTTTAATAGCCCTTTCCCTTTGTGACTCAGACAGACATCAAGAGCGCAAAAGTGCACTTTTCATTTTTCTGAAAGTGGAAGTGCACTGCAACACAAGACGTATAGTGATATCTGATATCGCTTAGTAGTAAGGAGCTTGGTTATTTTTATTATTAAACTTTTTGGTTGGGGGGCACCAATACAACGTCCAGTCTTTCGATTGTTGGTTCTATAACGAGAAAAATACAGTTCTTTACTTTTCCTGAGAAAGGAAACTTCAAATTGATCGTTTTCCAAAGTAAAATATTTTGTTTTCAAATTGTATAATGACAAAGCTATCCACAGTAATTTCAGTAATTACGACTCAAATATACATTACATTACATTACAAAAAAAAAAAACTAAAAAATAACATTAGGAACGCAAAAGAACAGTTATACTCCTGTGGTCGGAATAGTCCATTGGGTCTCCCTTTTTCATGGATAGACTGTTTTCCTGTATTCCAAGCTTTTTAAGGGTTTCGGTTAACATTTCTATTCCTTTGATGTTTATAAGTTTCATAATTTATAGCATTATCCATCGTACCCTGTAGTCTGTACCCTTTTCATTCCTTATTTTTTTACTATTCATAATTCTTTAAATTTTTGCCATATACTCGTATGTTCAACATTCATGTTCTTCCAGCCTTGTGTACTATTTCTCATCCTTAATTCTATTTTTCTATTCTATTTGCCCTTTCCGTATCGGTTAGCGCGTTAGCCTATACGGTTTAATTGTTTCATTTAGTTTTTGATTCTATTGCATTGTATCTCATATTTTCCCTTTTACCTGTACCAGATAATGATCGCTATAGTTTTTTGGTCCTCGTCTGACTCTTATATTTAAAATGTCTCTCCCTTTATCTCTTTTCATTAACATTATTGGAATATAATCTTCTGCTCTGTACTTCCTTAATGTATTTAAAACAGTTTTTATGTTTGTAGAAGGCGTTAGTCATAATTAAGTGATTCTCTACACAGAAATGTATTGGTCTGTCTCCGTTGCTGTGTCTATGTTCTGCACCATGTGGACGCGTTTAGAATTCCAGCTTCCCTTCCCACCCTGTTATTTAAATCTCTTAGTATCATAAGTTTCACCTTTCCGAGTCCTAACATTCGCCCCCTCTTTACTTTTACTTTGATCCTCGTTTGATCCATACGTTATTCATTATATTTTCCGTCTGCTCCATTTCTCGGGAGGCTCTTTTTTCTAATGTTTTTATTAATACAATAACTGTATGGGGTTAACGAGATTGACAAAAAAATTGGACACACTTGGTTAGAGTGTCACAAGCAGATGAAAAGGTTCACTATGAAAAAATTTTCCCTTGTTACTTATTGATCTTTTTATAATTCGTCAAGTAGAATGAGTTCAATCCCTTCTTCAGGTTCACGGCAGTAAATATTTACACAGCAGTTTTAAAATTGTTCTTGACCAAATAGAGCAGGTTTTAAACAACTATGACGTGTCGTTGACTGCCTATTGCGTCCTTTTAATTTTCGCGATAATCCATATTTTTGCTGTGTATAAAACCGTGCCATAGAAATTTATTTATTAATTTGATTTCAAAAAAGGTCCACAAGAACTTCACACTACACACTTACACGTTTCACAATCTCTTATTTGTGTATTTTTATACCTTTAGTCCCAAATAGTTTGTTTGCATTGTGGCGATATTTATGCTATTTCCAGTTTTGTTTTTATTGCTGCCTGACTCGCTGACAGTGGGTAAAGACAGGCAAACATCAGACACACCCTGCGAGAAGCTTTTTGTAAGAGAAAGTATATACCTTCAACATTTCTGCTCTCTCGTCATTTGTGCTATCGAATTCCTTGGGTGCAAAGGCACAACCGAGTAAACGTAATTATTGCTTCTAAACCCCAAATAAATTGATCGGTACTAGCCTCACGTTCTTCTCCATAATCGAGATGTGGAAAAAATCCAAATACCTATCTAACAATACGTACGAATCGATCGTGTGTTTAAAGTTCGTTTTGCATTCATGATTTACAAAAAGCTAATTATATTTATACAGTTGAATAAATTGGCAAACACATCTACTTTCGTAACCATTGACGACTGTGATCCTTTTGTTAAACTTATTAGCACGATTACTTCATTATTTGCACAGTATGTAATAATTTACACTAGACTGAATCCAGACCGCCAAAAGCGTTAATTGATTTAGCAGCGTGATAAATTATTTTGCCATAACTATATAAAGGAAACGAATGGTCATTATTAAAGGAAATTCGCAATTAAGTAGATACGTACAAAGTATAAAATAATCTACTTTATTATTTTCACTACAGTTACCATTACTTAATTATCTCCTCACAGGATATTATGTATACCTAGAGATTGTTTTCTAACCACCATTGATACTTGATAATCGTCTTTAAACATTCAATATACTAATGAACTCTATTCCCTGCAAGTGCGGGAAAAATCTGTTAGCATATTTAGTTACCGAATGAGTCATTAATTTGTAATGAATAGCTTGAATTGAATGATTTGCAATTTTTAATCATCAGTTTAATTACCTAGCTGCAGAATTCCTCACGTCTGGTGAAGTGTAAGTGCATTTCCAAACAATACCGTGTAATTCATGTACGGCGAATTAGATAGATGAGAAATATATTTGCGCACTGGCTTATTAAATTACTTAATGAATTATTTACCTTTGTACTGATTGCTTCCTCAGTAAAATAAACTACCTTGTGAAAAGCACTGATTTCTAGTGCAGCGTTCCACTCCCATACCATAAAATGCAATTACTTTTTATGTACAGACCTCCGAAATTTTATTAATTTTGTTCTGATCGCAATTCATGTATGTTACGTAATTCACTTATTACAAAAAATGTAGTGTGCATTGTATGAGTAATGTAATTATAAGCATTATCGACACGCATTTCTAATTCAGAAGTGCGAGCGATTGTTTTTGGTGCAATATGTTACGTAATGGAGAAGGCTTAGCGGCGTTCTTTGCTTTAGTTCGCTTTAATTTTAACGTAAGAAAGTTGAATAAATTTTTCTATGAATGTGCCCAAGTCCAGCAGTTATATGACAAAGTTCGTTTATAAACCTTGCGTGTTGTAATTCTATAGTCTGCAAATCGGTATACTTGTGCAGTAGACCGTGCTATTTCGTATAAGAAGTGACGTTCAAGTCCAGAATGTCTCAAATTAATCGGAATAGTAAAATTAGAGAACCTTAGCAGGTACTACCGATAACGTTTGCCAAATTACATGTATTAATTTTCTTCAGAATGCAAAAGCACAAACTTGCGAATGCTGATTTCTCCATTACTTACTGGAAGCATCCCTCTGCGGTAAGAAAGCTCAGGTACTTCAGAATTAAAATTGATTTCGAGTGTATGTTTGACTTGAGTATCGCAATTTTCGAGAATGTCCTGGTAACGCCATAATGGTGTTGTTATAAGTAAATGTATTCATTTTGGCACAGCAAAGCAGTTTCGTATAAGAAAGTAGGCTATATAGTGGTTTGTGATGTTTCCTAAGCGTTTGATGAGTAGATTCAATTCATCAGGTTTGACTTTAAAAGAGGATTCTTATAGATTTCCCATTTGTTTGGATTAATTACAAGTCCCATTTCTTTGCAATTAGATATGAGATTCTCCAAATCTTGGAATACTGGATCTGGTTCACCTGCAATAGTCCCATCATCTAGGTCAAATGTCAGCTTTGAATTTAGCACACTAATTTGTTCTTGTATTGCGAGACAAAAAAGAAGGGATCCATGTGGATCTCCTTGTTGTATTAATTCTGAGGGGATTTTTTTATTTGTTGAAGTACAAAGCTGA